TTAAAGTTAATGATGTACTTTAATTGTTTGTTATAATTATTATATAAAAATAAAAATAAAACGACAAAGGACAAGTATTATGTAAGTATATTTCAAATGGGTTGGTTTATTGAATCAAAAAGTATAATAGCATTTTGCAGACCGATCAATACATATCTTAGACTGCTAAGTTTATGTTTCTCACTAAGCCGTGTTTATTCTCAGACCCTTGTTCGTTCCTATTGTTAACATTAAATATTTTCTTCAGCCATAAATTTCTTTCGTACATACGATCCATTAACATTAGCAATCCAGAGGCGTATTTAGACTTATTTCTAGGGGGGGGGGGGGGTGGCGACTCAATTTTTTTCTTTAACTCAGGCTCAAAATTTACAAGTAAAATTTTTGGTAATATTTAAATTAAGTGAATCCTTAATATTAGTGGTTTTTTTTTTTTTTAATCTAATACCGGATCCACTTCTTAAAATTAATTTTTGTGTAGTTCATTTTTAACACCTGTCTGTGTTTTGAAAGTTATGCTTGTGTTTTATTTGAGTTTTCATTAAGTATGGACCCGACAAAAAGCCCAATTGAGTATTCACAGTCACGCGTAATTTGATTTCGTTATAAAATAATCCACATTAAAAAAATTTGAAATGTATATCTCACATATAATAAATTCCTTAAATACGGATTCAGGGGGGGCGATCGCCTCTTCGTCACCCCTCTAAAATACGCCCATGTGGCAATCATCACATGTGTATCGCACTTGACTTTAGTTGTCTCGTACATGCACATGTACAGGCTTCTTTTTTGTGAATGATATACTACCGAGGAATAAAAAAACAAATAGGTTTTGAAACATAGTAACATTACATTGGCTAACCGCGTTTAAGGTACGTTTTCCACGGCGCGACAAGTTGCTCACTTGTGAGTTTATTGTATTTGTATAAACTGGTTTGCTAAATGCGACATATCAACGCGACCGAACTTTCATTCGTCACGGCCGACGACACGACTTCTCCAAGAGCAGTGCTCCGCGGCATATCAGAGCGACATCATGTCGAAATTTATATTTTTACCCTCGGAAGATGAAGTGATCGTACTATAAATATAAAACAACCCTGTTTTATATAATATTGCAGAAACAAATTACATGGATAATATTGTCAAAGATGATATTTGGAAAGCTATAACAATTAAAATTGGAAAATCTTACAAGCAACTTTTTCGTATAGTATCATTAAAATATAAAATCAAATGATTTTATTTTCATGCAGATATTTCTTTTAATAATCATAGTGGAGGATACAAAATACGGTGGAAAAACATGTTTGCCCCATATTGGATTTCAAAAATATTCCGCTATCTCCTTATTTTCCAAAGGACCCAATATCAACAGTAATAAATTTATAGTTTGCATCAACCATCGCCAGAAGAATAACGGAAAAGAAGTCTTTGTAATTTTGGAATAATGACCCTGAATTATTCGGACTTCGAACACGATGTTTTCAATGTTTTACAATGTTTTCCATCAATATCTGAGATACAATTAGGAAAGTTCCATTTATAAGTAAATTCTTCTGCTTTTTGTTTAAAATCTATAGTATTGGAGGGTTTTAAAAATGTTGGCAACAATTTAGTTTTCAACAAGGTAAGCGTATTTTTTACTATAGTACTTAAGCAAAAATAATTTATACGAAAGGCGAATAAAAGCGATCTTAAAGATTTCTTAGTGGTAAGATATCTATTTAAAAAATCATTCAACTAAATTAGTTATGAATAAATAACTGACCAAAAAATGTAGCGAATTATGTAGGTACCTATATCAAAGTTACTGCTAATTTGTCTGCATGTGTAATCGGTTTATTCACACAATCGCTAGATCGTACGGTTAACTCTTTTTTCACCAACAACAGTAAAAAATCACGAAATTTAATATCTTTATTTTTTAAATGTCTGTTCATGAGTATTTCAAAAAATCCCTCACTAGCACGGTTTTTAAATATTTTATTCGTAGGATTTTTTTTTGTCGATATGAGATCAGAAAAAATAATGTCGTTTTCACTTTCCTCATCTAACAAAATAGTAAGGATATTTTTGTTATTAATAATAACGTTTTCCATTTTGAATTAATATAAACGCCCAAATTTTAATAATATATAATAATGAAATATTAGAACTCAGTACAATTCACATATGTTCTAAAACAAGAGAAAGTATATTGAAAACGTACGTATTGATGATCGTCTGATTACAAAAAAAGAAATAAATGAGTCGTCACGATATGTCGTGTTTTGCAAATCATGGCAGGAAAAATGTGCAGCAACATGCCGTTGAGACTTTTGGTCGCAGCAACCTGTTATGGCAACAGGACTTGTCGCACCTTGGAAACCGTACCTTTATGAACGATTATTTTTCTTTTTCCGACGACTTTCCGTACCTACTTCGGAAGATCCATATCTGAATAACTTAACATCCTTACGATCTAGACTTTTTGAAATTCCTCTTGATAATACGTACTTTTAAGTTGTTTAACTTTTATCAATATATAGTCTGAGCCGACGCCGACAATATAGAATCATCATAAGGATAAATGTTGAATAATCTACATGTGTTATCTTACACACTCATCTGTTATCGAGTACACGTATATAATCATCAGACGGTCGGAGTAACTCGGCGAGCAACTTAAACCAACACGAAAATTGACCTCAACTCATTTGGCCTTTTATATACACATGGGCATGGTTACATAATACATTGTTGATGTTTGGATGTTTACTTACAAAACTGTTGCGAGACTTGTTTTTTACTAAACTTAATAATATTTTACGAGTTCTTGTTATCTCGTGTCGTGTTACTACTTGTGTGCGTACAGTAAAGAGTTGGTTTGGTTTTAGTTTAATTTTTTGTGTAAATCTATGTACGAGGCCAAGGTCGTCATTACATTACGGGGTGCACAACCGAAGTATAAGCGTAGATGTTGTTTTAGAATTTAAATGTAATGTGGTTATCATGCCATAGTCGCTCATATTTAGTCTCTTATCTTCATTATAAATAATATACAATTGATGTACTTATTTGATGTATATTAATTTGCTATTGGCGTCGGTCGCATGCGTTGAAAAACATATATAGGAATAAAAGTATGCTCAGTGTACATATTGCACAAGGATTTGTAGTATTCGATGCTCATATGAAATCGTATGATTAGTAAACTGGTCCTTCAAGTACGGTTTAATGCTCAATATTCGCGATGGTAAAGCAACCGCTCGCAGAGACCTATTGAGAGGGGATACGAATACGAATTGAGCTTACTCGTCCGTGTCGCAAAGGCCTACTGCGCATGCTTACGAGTTGGTGTTCACGTAGGACCGCGCTACGAACGGGATTTAATCGATGGACGCAGGACTCAGGAAGACGAGTTTGATTTTCGGTGATTCCTCGACCGTACGTCGTCGTGTAATATGTGTATCGTACAAATGTCTAATACACTGGCACGCACACAATAAACAATGTACACAAGAGCAATAATAGTATTCCTTGTGGGGCGCGAGGAAAACGAACGAATCTCGTTCAATGTCAAGGACAAAACGGTGCGAGAGTGAAAAACATAGAAGAAAAAGAGAGAGAGAAAGAGTGAGAAATATAAAGAGAGAAAAACATCTATCGAGCGCGGCGACGCTGCGTTCGGGCGGGTCGGAATGCGAGGGGTTTTTGCGTAGTAGTTTCCGCGGAGAGTACACGTAGTGGTAGTCGTCACCGCCTGCTGTGCTGCGCCGTAGTGCGCGTACGGGAGAGAAAAATAATTTGTGAACTGCGTATGAGATGAATATAAAAAAAATAAAAAATGAATAAAACCGTACAACACTACCGCAACCGCCTATTCGATTTAATCGTTTTAAATTTATGCACCAGACGCTCATGACGCGTCCATGTGCGTCGTAGTAATTTTTTTCGTTCATTTTATTTTTTCTCATTTACTCGTGCGGCACGACTTATGTATTAAGAGTACCAATGCTCGACTTGGAAAAATTAAAGAAGGGAACTCTATTTACTTTAAAAAAAAGAGCGTCCCCAAAACTAGTTAAGCGTTATAATTATAACATAATAATAGTAGGGGAACGCTAAAATTTCTGAAAATTAGTTGGGGTGCTCCGTCTCCTTGCGTCCCCCCTCAAGTCGAGCACTGAAGAGTACCCGCGCGTTTTAGTAGTTGGGCGTTAAAAATGTAAGACGAAGAAACATGGGATGATAACGCTGCTACTGCGCTACCGTAGTCCAGTAACCTATCCGACAGAAAGCGTGCGAGACACGAAATGTGTTCGCGAAAATGAATTTTTACGCAGGTACCCGCAAAGACGTTCGAACGCGCGAAAAACGAATCCGATTGGGGTACACATCAATACAATAATTATAACGATAACAATAATAATGTGTAGATATCAAACGTCGCGTTCGTTATTCGCGTGCACGCGTAAACGCGTTTCCGCGCAATCGTTATCAGTTGATTACACCAACGTGTGTCTAGCGGCCGTCGCGTTTTTCGTATCGGAATTACTAGCGCGATAAGTTGAAAGCAATATTTGCATGTACAGCATTGTGGTAAAAACATTTACTCGTATAGTCGGTACAGATCGTTCGAGAAAAAATCTCGCCATGATCTCCGCAACGATGGGAAATTTTAAGCGTAAAGGGTTTATTGTACGCGGCAGTGGCGTATACAGAAAATATTTTTGGGAGGGGCTGCTATGGACAGAGTTAAATCACTACTGGTATCTAAGAATTACTAAGAATTACAGAATATCCCAAAACGATTTGATATTGGACGTAAATTCTAAATAAGCATAAAGCACCATTAAAATATAACATACGTTTAATTTTTTTTAATTTTTAAGTTTTTTAAAACATTTCGGGGGGGGGGGCTGTAGCCCACTAGCCCCCCTCCCCTATATACACCACTGGTACGCGGCGTGCGCGGTTCGATGACAGGTTGATGGAGATTTGTACACCGTCGAGTGACTGTTACGGATCGTATTCGAAACGCACGCGAACCGCATGGAAACGCACGAAGAATTTAAAATATTGTGCTTTATGACGTATACCTTGTCGTAATCGACGAACCGTACTGAAATGCAATCGATAATTGAAAAACACGAACGACTCCGTCGCCGCAATACTTTATTGACAAACGTAAACACATATAGGTACGCCAAAAATTATTTTTCCCCGTGGAGGTTTTTCTTAAAGCGTGTACAATGTCATAACGTTGTGTGTGTTTTCGTAGTCTTACAAATGGAATCGAACACGTGAGTTAACTCTTATTATGACTTTTAAGCCAATATTTTGTGTTTATGTTGACTCTATGATGTTAACAATATTTCCGTTGTGATAATTTATTATTTTGCTTGTGTAATTTTCTATTTATTGTAAACGAGTAAACAATTTTGTAATTCTATGAAAAATATTAAGCTGATCATAATATACTGTAAAACAAATACCAGTATCCTTGAGAGGGTTTCGGAACCCCCCTCCCCATGGTTCTAAGACTGATTCAATGAGTGTTATATTTTTTACAATAAAAATAAAAATCCAAAGTAATGAACGAGGTTGTCCACTAGTAAATGAATTTGACTTTGCTCAACCCCTCTCCATAAAAAGTTTTTGGATACTGGCCTGACGAAAACAAATAAGTTTTTTCTCCTGTATTATTATTATTATTATTATTATTAATTTATTATTAATATATTGCTTTACCATACGGATGTATAATACTATTAGAGAATTATTATTTATTTAATTGTTGATTAAGTGGTAACATATTAAAATAATTAGTTCATGATAATTATTTCCTATTGCACGATATGTATAAGCGACCATGAAAATCAGTAGAAAATTAAGGCAATTTGTAAGTAAAAGTTAAACGAGCAACGGACTAAATTCATTTTGACATTGCAATGAAGTATATTAGGTCCACTTGACCGTTTAACTGCGTTTCCATAACGATAAAAAAATCAAACATATTATAATATTAATGTAGGTGTAACTGGTATTATATAAATCGTATTTTCAAAGCTATTCACGGATTTTATTTTTGCAGATGCTAATATTACATTTCGCGATTTACCTATACAATTTAAACTTATTTTCTCGTGGACCTGATAGATTACCGAGACAACCGTTTTTTTTTTTTTTTTTTTTTTTAACTGGGTTGTGTTCGTTTTTGTTGTTATATCAATTATCAAAAACTATAATGTACATTTAAAAGCGTGCTCATTACGTTGAGAAGTGACGGTGGTATACTGCATTGTGTGATAATAAATTCAATGCGGTCGCATAGTTGCCTAGTATCTATAATAGACGACGTTTCCAACGTTATTTTTGTAATTCATTGCAAATAATTGAAACGTGTTAATTTTAATTTTACATGTAGGTAATTAAAAAATACATCTCTTGTATGTTTATCTTGGAAAACGGTAGCGACGTGAGATGAATTATGATAATATTATTTCCAAAATGTTCATTTTAGAACTTAATACGATTCGTTTTTTATTTCGATTTCAAGGACATGAGCGTGTATTGTGCGCACGTCTGGTGTATTACTGTACATGGTATAGTGAAATAAACAATTCCATTCGTCAACAGTAAACAAAACAAAGTGGCGTGACACTACTACCACCACATTTCTGTGCGCGCATAATACATAACACTATAATATGCATAACAATATTCGTCCACGCGGTGATCGATATGTCTACTCCGACAAGAGAAATCATCTCTTTGGAAACAAATATACATTTATCTGATGTCCGATTGAAAAAAAATGAATATATTTAATACCAATGAAAACGCACTGAATACTTCACACTTGTACACAAACTTATTTATTATATTATTTCCATGGTTCAAAAAATATAGTGTTTTACATTTTATTATCATTAGTTTTTTTTTTTTATCGTGCATTAATTATATGGAGTAGTTACATACGTTACATTTTCCGCGTATATTCTTACAGAGATTTTTTGACTCTGGTAGGTATTATGTAAAGAAATATTTTTATTCAATGTTAAGATTCGTGCAATATTAATAAGAAACCCGCAAACTCATTGATTCTCAAATCAATTAAATTTCGCATTTAATAATTAGTCATTTTAAATAACACTCGTATAACTTGGAAAATCGCTTTCCCTTCGTTACGTGTCAGTGAAGGCGTAGCCAAGATTTTAAACTTTCCACGAGAAAGAAAATATATTAAACTTTTTCGCATGGATACTAAAGTTATTTTTCAAAGAACTCCATAGTTCTTGTAAACAAATTTGTATTACACATAAATGAATCGCATCAGGAGCCAAGTATATTTTTTTCTATGACTATCGTTTTAAATTAAATTTGTGCCTTATTCTATTGCGAAAAAATAATTATTGAAAATAATGTCCATTCATAAATTACATGATTACAAATACCTATGCTGCAAAATTTAAAATATTTCATATGCTGTAATTCATATATAACATGTATGTATATCGACGAAAGAAAAAAAACTAAGATAGTTCAAAAGTTGATCTTGATACAGCGGTGCAATCGTTATAGAATTTCAATTATTGTATTTCTATGAAGTCGTACGTATATTGTACGAATTATGTCGAATTAGGAACGGCAAACGTGAACACAAAAGAGAAAATAGGTTCTTTAAAGAGGTGTTTCGAAGAAAGAGAAAAAGAAAAGAAGTTTTTTAGGAAAGAACTTTACGACCAAACGATACGCCTTTTTTCGTTTCCCAGAAGGAGGTCGTGTTATGCACCGTAAAAAAAATGCTGGCACCTAGATGCACGCTCGGTTCCCTCTCCCGGATAAAGTATATAACGTGGTATGTGCTATGTTTGAAAAGTTATTCACGTGGCAATAATAAACGGCGTATCCCCTGTAGATCACCGAGATCCATACCTATTCGTCATGGCAGAGCGGGCACATCGCATGAGTGTGTTGGATGGTATAATTCGTATAGGTGCAATTACAATTACGTTCGTGGCGAGTTTCCGCTCTGGAAAATAATCACACAGCGAAGGTGACCTTCGAGCTTGTTTACAACGGTTTAGTGACATTATACATATCGTATCGATGCGTAGTATACGTACAAGTATGTATGCGTTGCGGGCGCGTACGTTTACGTTTTGGCAAGCTATTTCTAGGAGAATGATAGAGAGAGAGTTTGAGAATTTGAGAGAGAGAGAGAGAAAGAGAGAGAGAGAAAGAACAATAATCGCCTCGTTCTGCGACTAAAAGAGTTGGACAAAGTTCAAATAAACACGTTTTCGCATCTAAACGATTATATAGGATTCTCGACGGGCCGCGTGAGGCAGACACCCGCATGCGATCGGTCTACAATACGAATATGATCGTTTAATTTTTGCCCCATTTTATTAGGGACAAGGCCGGATTAAGAGTGGGGTCTTCTCGAGTACCCTAGTGAAAGGGGCCCAAACAATTTTAAGCCGACACATATTTTTTATCACACTAAAATTAGTAGTTTTATGGACATAAATTATATATACCTATTAATTTTATAATTTTATATTGCAATTGACAATTTGTGAAATAGTTAAAAAAATGTATCATTCTGCGAGCGTAGCGAGTAACTTTGTAAAGCATGTTTTGTCAAAAAGGCCCATAAAAATTTCAGCCCCGGGGCCCAATAGATGCTTAATTCGGCTTTAATCAGGAAAGAACCCTAAACAGAGTTTACCGTGATTGGGTCAACTGCACGCCATATGATCCCTTTGTCGTCGAACGGACGAACACACACGGACGTTGTAGCGGTTTTCGCGCGGGTTGGTCCATTTCCTCTGAAAATGCGATTTTTTATTTTCCTTTACTGTTCATTTTCAAAAAAAAAACAGGTTGGATTCCATTTTCCTCCAAACTTTTTTTTGGACTAAATTATGTCAATTTTTCTTTAAATATTAAACTATTTAGACGGTATCATTATAGTGCTGTGTACAGTATTATAGGGAAAATAACAGTCGACAACATCGTAATGTAAGTTGAATTGTGAGTCGTTTTATTCGCAAAAAAAAGAACAATTTTATAAAAAATAAAAACTGAATATATTAATTATAAGATAAGAATAAATGGATATATCTTATAAAAAAATCTAAAGACTACCGAGAAAAATGTAAAATTAATTTTAAACAGGTATTTTTTAATCGTTACAGAAGTATCATACAATTATAAAAAAATATAGGTAGATTAACGTTATTTTTAACTTACGAATTATCTAATCTGTATTATACATGAACTGAACCTAATTTTGTTCATAATTTGAAAAATGAAAAATGAAAATTGGAAGAAAATGGTCAAGATTTATTGTTTATTTTACTAATTTTTTTTTTTTTCAGAAAAATGGATAGTGGAGGAAAACAGTATTTATCTCGTTTTTGGAGGAAAATGGTTACGGCCTTTCACGAAATCCGGCAAGTCGCTACTGGGCGTATGTTCTCTCAACCGCGGGCCGCAACGGTCGCAAAGAAAACGGTTACCCGCAGCTACATACGAACGGATGTTCGCGTTGCTTACCGAAACAACGGCTGAGATGGTTTTTTGGAGAGGCGATGTAGTGATTTTCCCTCACCCTTGGGATTTTTTTTTTATCATAGATGTATCTAATATTTTTGATACAGGTGTAAAGTCATACAGATATAATAGCATTATAAGTAATAATATTCCTATTCGCCTCACCCGTCGCCTCTGAATAACGGTGCAACGGTCAGAAACGTCCGTACAAACGTCCAAACGTCAAGTGTAAACGTGACCACGCGTTTGGTTTTACGTTCGCGGAAGCATAACGACATGCGAGCTTGACACAACGCATCGGTTTGACCTTTAATAAAGTCAAACTGACGTTTGTAACACGCACAAGATTGTGCGGTGCGCGCATGCGTTGTACACATTTCGTTTGATAACACTTGTCGTTATCTATACCGTGGAATAACGTGATAGAACATTGTATCGTTATGTTATGTTGTGTTGCCGTTTTTTTAATTCGAGTCCTAGTAACTGCACTACGCACCGTTATTATGTAAACGCGTACGCGTGCCGCAGTAACGAAATTTTAAATGTTGTCACATTTTTTTTCCGATCAAATATTTTACCGAGTCCGACTTCCGATACTGTAATATTTGTCCGTACAACGCAGACATTCGAGGTACATAGCACACATATGTTGTCTATATTTTATGCGTGGGGTAGGTTTTGTAACTCGTAAAACGGTTAATAATATTAAATTCTACGTCGAGACTGGATGACGAGGAAAAAACGATTCGTTTCCGATGTGTGCGTGTTCATAAAAAACGTGTACGGACCGTGTAGGAGTACCGTGCCTATCATAAGTAGCTCCCGGTTACAAAAATAAATTTTAGCGCCCTGACCCCTCTACAAAATATTTTTGAACCATATAATTATAGTTAAGCTTAAACTATAAGGAGACTACTTAAGAATAGAGATTTTTATATAACTACTTATTTTGTATTTATTAAATTAATAAAACAAATAATCAACGACTAAAGAACAATATAAGTAATATAACTCAAACTGATAATTTGACGCCATGTTTTCTCACCCTGGTCCACTTGATTGAACAAGTTACCCTGAAATTTCGCCTCTAGATTTAAATCTATAGTTCTCGTTATACCAGATAAATTATGATTCAACGATCTTACTCTATCCAAATCCCTAATAATCAAATTTAACCGATTGCGCATAAGCCATCATCTATTACCTTCTTGTTTGTAATTTAAATCTTAATGATTCACTTCCAGTGGTGAAATTATCGGGAGTGTTGGGTGTAAAATTCACAGAGACCCCAGTTTTGGAGGGCTCTGAGATATCTTCTGATATTATCTTTTTCTTCCCTTACAATATTCCTATTATAATCTATAATATACACATATTATATTATTTTTATTAATATAATAACAATAAATAATAATATAAGTCTGGACATTTTCACATTGGCCCCTTATGATCAAGTTACGCCCTTTTCTATACACTCCATTTAGAAGAAAAAAAATCTGTATCCTATCTTATATTCTCTTTGATTGTCTTTCCTTACCTACCAAATTTAATATCCTTATTAGTCTCTCAATAACACATTCAATACCTTCAGCATTCTAAATTTAAAAATCTGCTCTCATTCTAATTATTTTCTTCATTCACGGGACTGGTTTCTGTATATAATCTTTTATTATTTTAATATTTTTATGTCATATGTTTTATCTATTGTATTTTAATTAATTAATCGATGTATTTTATTATAATTGTCGAGCTTAATAGTATATCTGAAAAGCTCTATAAATAAAAAAATAACTATATAGGTAGAACAAAACATGTAGATAATAACTTATCATTCTTAACCGGTATAATTTATTTACGAATTAAATTTATTCGATTGCACAAAAAATAACTTACGTTTTTAAATAATTGCCAATGAAAAATAATTGGGTACCTTTGCAACTTCTGCGTTCATGAACTATGATATGAAAACTATCTATCATAGACGGGTTCAAAATAAAATCGTACAACTCGATCAAGTCGATTTTTGTTTATGTTATTAATGTTATTAAATTAATTATATCAAGTAACAATAATAATAGAATATAAATGGTATATTATTGTTAGTTTGTCATCTCGCCGATTTCGGGGCAAAAATAAATACCAATACTAAAAATGAACTAGCAACACCGCCGTTCAAGACATTGTTAATGATGTCGACTACGCATCGATACCATGGCGTTAAACGTGTTAAATATTTTGAGTTAAATAATATAGTTAACTTTCAGTAATATTACTTAGATTATGAAAAAGCTTTTGGCACCCCAGTGTTCATGGCGCTCGGTGCACACACATCTCTCGCACCCCCTAGGCACGGCCCTGAGGAGTATCATATTAGTGCAAATAGGCATGGGCTTAGTTAAGATTTGAATCAGGGAGGGCAAAAACATAAAGCGATTAGTGTTAAACTTGTAATTCAAATAATCTACAGATAGACCATTGGATAACACATAAAACGTTAAAATGATGTGTAAATAACACTCGGTCCCACTAAACTATTTTTAGGCTTACGATTATATCTTTTTTAATTTTTGATTTTAATGTAAAACTTATACGTTTGATATAAACAAATATAATTCAGTTTGAGGCGCAGGGGTGGGAAATTGCCCCCCCTACCCAACCCTCGCTACGCCTATGCAAATAGGTACTTAATGTCAGCAAATAAAACTGGTTAAAACGGTTAATGATCGATCGTGAGCGCGTGACAGTATTTGGGTGTATGTCAGAGCATATTAATAGAAAACACAATTAATACTACGTGGTTTGAGAGCATTGCAGATGTTGACATCGATGCTTTTAACTACACTACTGTTATTGTTGCACCTCCGCTGGCATTAACATAATCGTACGGAGAAAAAGGGCCCGCATCGAATTGTTCAATCATAGGCTCACATCATATAGAAACGTCTCGTCGGGCGCAAGCATCTCCGAATCGGTTATTTAAAAATATTTAATTATTAATTAATTCATAATTATATTTGTACGTTATGTACATATGTTAGGAACCCCTGAGTGAAGAACATTCGAATGCTGACCACGCATTCCGGGGTTATAACGTTGGACGGACCTACCTACTTCGATTGTTTGTAGTCAATTGTGTTTTCGATCATAACCTCAACATTTTTATACTATTTACTCGAAGTTATTTATAAAATATTTTTTTTATAGTATGTATCTAAATCACAGATCAATATTACCATCGATAATTAAATAATATGTTACTTTATGTATATATTTAAATTAACGGAGTTCAATTGTTTTTAGGTATCCTCATTTGTTACATAACTCTTACTTTTCGACTTATCCTGGTGGATAATAACACTATTATTAATTATTTCTTATAGAATTAGGAAAATTGTATGATCACTGAGTCTTGAACAGGTTGAATTTTATTAAAATCTAAAATAGCAGTAACAACAGTCATTTGCTGGCCGTATCACGGTACGAATGTATGGGTAGTTATTTCGTCACTTTGTTATTTAGTTGCAACTGTAGGACATGTGTGTAAAAAAAATTATTGTTTTAATAAATCATGTTTGCCCGTATTAATATTAACTCTTATCGCCACCTGAAGTATGCTTCACACCATTTCCAGGTGGCGAATGTATTGCTGGTTAAAAAATAAATAAATAATACGAACTATTAAAGTTCCTATTGAGTTTTTATGTTTTTACTAAATAATATTACGGTTCAATTGGATTTTGTTAAAAATTAAACATGGTTTGATCGGTGGACGTATAGTTCAGTGGTGCCTCATCGTGTATGCGTCCGAGTGTTGAAATTTCGACGATCGATTGATCGCGGATGTTCATCGACGACGATATTGTGACCGCGGGATAATGATGACTACCTATCTCAAGTAATTGGTTTTGGTTCTTGTATAATAATACCCGCAGTATGTGTGGGTAGGTCTCGACTTTGTATTTGCTTTCCATTAACGACGGTAAACATCATCCGTATGGAGGTTAATAATCTGTACGACGTATATAGACAGAAGCAAATTCGGATTCAATGGGGAGAGAGAGGGGGCCATGGTCGCGGTCTCACAACGGATATCAAACAATAATGGGTCCCTAGCGAATAGTAAGTTTTTTTTTTTATTAAATCAGAAATATTTGGATAAAATACAATAACGTTTCCTACAGACTATACTATATGGATAATGGATAATATGTTATATTTTATGCTATCATAATATCGACAATATTGTTTATTTTCAGCAGGTTGATAATGGTAAGGAGGAATTTAATTGAATATTCGAGTTCGGTGTGTTTACCGTCGATTACGAATTTACGACGGTTGAATTATTATTACTAGATATTTAAGATATAAAACATATAACCTACCTATTTAGTTATTACTTATCAATATTGGCCCCTAAAATTATTTGGCCCCGGCCCCAAAATTATCCTAATCCGTGCTTGGATAGAATGTTAGTGCAAATTAGTATATTGCGATTACAGTAGAAATTGTTTTCACACAAATCGCACATTCGTCTTGCACTCTTCCTCTTCCTACCCACACGGTATTATTCGTTCTGGAAAACATCGTATTTTCCATGGAAATGGCGGCTGACGAAAGCGCGTTTGAAGGTTAGGACTCCGTTTATCATATTATTATGTTGGCGTTATAGTCAGTTATCCGTTCAGAGGTCGCGTGGGCGTGTTCACTCAGCCGATTGATTTTGTCAAATCGAACAACGACGAAAAATACTAGAGAATTTCCTGAAATATGCTAGTTCCGATCGATTGATGTGATGATGTATGCTCTGATCCATTAACGAGAGCAACACATAGAACACACGATAGTAATATACGACGATTAGCAACATAGACGGTTATCGGGGAGGGGGCTTAGGCCCCTAAATATTTCAATAGACCCCCAAAATCGAAATTCCATTCGATGTTATAAGAATTTCGTCAGAAAACCAATCAATGTTCGCCAATTTGCAAAAACTATTTACAATAGCATTGATAATACCAATCAGTTCGATTACTTGCGAAAGAAGTTTCAGTGCAATAAGAGAAATAAGAATTTTACAATGAACATCGATATTTCAGAATAGGTTTAGTGATCTTTCTATACTGTATATTGAAAAAAAATGACAACAAATATTATTAGCAATGATATTTTAAATATCTTTGTTGATAAAAACAATTACATATTTGTTATTAAAAAAAATGAAATATTAATAATTTTTAAATATAAGTTATTTTATGTTTTTTTTAATTTATTTTTACTTAAATACATTTATATTTTTATTAGTTTTATGTGATAACTTATGATAGGAAGAGGATGTGGGGGCGAAGCCCTTGCGGGTGGGTCACTTTACATTGGATTATTATAGCCCCTTTAAAAATTCAACCAAACGTCTGCCTATGATTGATAGTCGAAATGTCATTTGATTGAAGTTTATCGTATTATCGCATAAACGTTGTTGACAAATTAGACTCGATGACTGTTTCCTGCACGTTGAAGAGCTAACCTACCGTTGGTTTAGCTTGTGATTTTCGAGTCAACATGTGTTTTTGTTGTTGTCACTACTCGTGACTCATTGTTGTTGCGTAGACAACACTTCTATATTATAATAATTTATCAATTATTTATTATACACATTTTAGAACACCTGTTAAAATCTAAATGTAAATAAAATACTGTTGATAGGCAACATAATCGACGCTATGGCGTATTAAAAGACATCTCATTACTACCTGAACGCAAACTAAAACCGTATTTTTTTTCGTTCGAGTTGTTTTTTGTCGGCACATTTTTCTTCCGTATTGCTCCAAAATCTTACGAAATGATTGAATGATTATTTGATTATTTATTAGGTTGCCGCGATATTCACAATAGAACACCTTGATATATGTCATCATGACATAAACTTATAAGAAGCGGTTCGATAAACGCTACACGAAAATAGTTTTGACACAATCTTCATGTAGTATTTTTAAGTCGGTTTGATTGATGAAAATCGAAAATTATTTAAGTGAATTTGTAGGGCGCAGGAGCATTCTTCATCAGATTAATTTTCAATTTATTTTTTAAAGCTTGAATAATTGTTTTACAACTAGTTTTATCAGATTATATTCGTTTGTATAACGGCAGTTTTATCTAATCATTGACTTATGCTTTATACTCAATTTTAAATTTTTTGACGGACGAGAAAAATGTATGAATTAACTAGTTCTATCATAGCTTGGGAATATGATTAATGTTAATAGTAAAAAACATTTATGTGATTTCGATAAATATTAATTCCTAAGAAAAAAAAAATGATTGACAAATTTGATTTAAAAGAGTTGATCATTGTCTAAAACTGTATGTTAGAAATAACTAATGTAATTGAGAAACTAAAACCTTCCGGGTGCTTGATAACGTTCTGGAAGAGCCTCTTAAATATCCCTTAATGACTATGAGATGTCCTACAATATTTACTGCTTTCGAACGCATTTTATCCATTAGACCAATGGTTCCCAAACTGTGAGGTGCGCCACCCTAGGGAGGCGCAAGGCAAGTATTTATATTGTATATTACACTATCAAATATTTATTTTTACACTGACAGTGATTTTATTTGATTAAAATAATAAAAAAAAATGTTGTTTTATTTATTTATGGGAGTTAAGATTAATTTTTTTTTTTTTTGTTTTGGGGATGCGTGAACCAAAAAAGTTTGGGAACCGCCGCCCTAGACTGTGGACGATATCTAAGACCAAACGCGTTCGTCCGATCGTCGATGATGGTGATACAAATCGATCTATATTAAATCCGTAAAGTCAAAACTCAAACTTGGTGAACGTTTAACAAATAACATAGTTTACTAGATTTGAGCTTTGGCGACCAACTTTGAGCAGCCGACTTGGCGGACAAAATTATAACTGTCGTCGTCCATGTAGTATACGACTATACAATTTCATTAACATCTCGACAGGACGTAATCTCGTTTGGAAATAATATTGGATTCGTACGGTTGTTGTACTCGATTCGGTAATTTTGAAATCGGCGATCGGAAAAAACCGCGATCCGGAAACGGTGTTTAGATTTTTATTACGTTCTTCGCGCGCACGTAACGAGAACACGAGTGGAGGAGACCCGCAGACATCGCTGATGCGAACTATATACTCCTTACTCAACGGTGCGAACACTCGAATTTCAAAACACTAAAATTAGCCGCGCACGGTACGGTTTCGCAGTACGGGGAGGGGCACTATTTGTGTCGCGCATACTGCGCATATAGTTCGGGAGACGTACGAGATGGGCGAGACAGCGGATGGCGTACGAACAGCAGCCATCGTCCGTCGTAAAAATAAATGCCGTTCGCGAACGTTTCGATAAAATGTGTACAATTAATATTAAATGTTATTATACGTATTATTATTGTTGTTAGCAACGCGTTGACGGTCGACGACCAGAGGACCCCGGTGCCGTCACACCGTCGCCGCGAAACGTCCGCGATAATTGTAATTGGCCGTTCGGCGATGACGTACACCGCGCGGAGACTACTGCGCGTTTAATACGTTTTAATAGCGACTCGGCCTCGCGAATAGCGTCTCGTCTCGGCCATCTGATTTATTAATATTGTCGCCGCGATTCTGGTGTTGTTTCCCGTTTACGCTCGTCGTATCCGTTTGTCACGGTATATATATATATATATTATAATAACTCGTCCGATAGTGCGGAGCGTTGAAACGCGGCCAAAATAACGATAATCCCGTTCGTGCAACGGCCCTTGTTAAAGGGATCGCATCACACGTAATTTTTGTACGTTTTAGACCAAATGAGCGGTGGTAAATTATTACACATACTTCCAAATTTCCGATTTCAATAGATAAGGATTATTGGATAGGTATAGAAAAATAACTATAATGGACAACAATAATAATGATCATTACCAAAATTAATATTTAATATTATACAACACGAGTACAACCCATAAAAATTATATGTAAATAGGAAACATACTACTACTTATGATCCAGCAGAATTTGTTTTTCGTGTTTTCGTTCTTGTACGCATCGGATCGGTTTCGTCAATACTACGTACGTACGTAATCTGGTGTAGAAGTTCCACGATACCGATTACGTGTTTTAATTATGATCGGCATCTGCAAACGAATTTGTCTATCGAGATAATCGTAAAATTATTAGAAATTTCGTATTTACATCAACTACGCGTTCACGTGTACCACCACGTTACTGAACTGGATTCCAAATTTATTATTCGCTGTTACTTTTTCGGAAACATTTTTTTTGTAATTCAATCCAGAGATATTGAAAATTGAGCTTAAAAACCAGAAAACATTTTAGGGGATCAATTTGGTAATAGTAAACATTTGGTTCATTATTTATTATCAAATTTTGACCATCTTTATTAATTTCATTAATTTCCTTCAAAAATTCTTCGATCCTTCTTAATATATTCATTTAACAAACGTTTTTTTTTACATATTCCTTCCAAATCAGAATTTTAAAATTTAATACGTTATCAATTTTTTATTTGAAAACATTTCTATCATTTGGGTAATGTTAAATTTTTTTTCCATATTTTTGTTAAATAAAAATAAACACCGGAACAATGTCGAATTAATGTGAGAACCAAGATATTCAACATTTTTCTTTGTTATGTTCATTTTTATGAATTCCAAATATTTAATAGTTATTTAAATCTTAAAAATACATCTTCTGATAGTTCTGATTATATAATCAAAGCTATTTTCTATTCTCTTACCTCTAGAAGTAATTACATTTTCTTATCCTATTTTTTCATCATAAACCAATAAGAATTTATAAAAAAAAACCTAATAAAAAATTGGATATAAGGATAACAGAAATACTAGGAAATAAAAAAAAACTATGAATATAAAAAAAACAATTTTTTTTAAATTTATAACATAAATAAATGTATGAATAAAATACAAATAAATGTCTTTATAAATATATGATAAAATTACAATGAGTAAATGGATCAGATAAATCGAAGTAGCACTCCTAGAGGTGTGTAGAGTGGAATGGTAAAACTTATGAAATAAAGTGATCATATACTAAGGTGAAGAATAATAATACGGAATGTATGTTTTTTAGTGCAGGAATAAATAAGTGTCAAATATTACTAGACCAGATTTATGACTTTCTTTTTTAAACTTAGGAATTTATCTAGAAGTATTTAGCATTATTATTGCTTTAATTAACAGAATAGTACATACAGTTTTTATGATAATAAAAGAAAGGTATCCATCAAAGTAAAAAAATAACTCCATTATTTATCTATGATGATAAAATATGTTTACAATAATTATTTTTTTATATATTTGTGTGATATGCCACCATATCTAACGATGTAAGCATTTATATTAAACTTTCTTTTACAACCATCATAGTTCATGAACCGGATTTTTCCAAAAATATCACGTTCCTTCCAAGCTCTGTCATGAATACCACAAATTGACCACATACATCCAACAAATCCACTTGGATCACGACCATCCATGCTGTATTTGTCATTCAGATATATTGCATCAGCTAAAGCTCTTTCTGGAGTGTCGGTCCATTCCAA